CGGCTTTTATCTGCCTCATGTGCCTCACTGGGGAGGTCTCATGTAAATACCACCAGGAAATTGGGAGTAGTTTTGGATGAAAAGCCCAGAATATAAAATCTTCACTTGCTTCCCAGCCCAGAGTCCCCTCTTTCCTCTATCTCTAGCAAATTCATTCATCAACATTATGGAGCTCTTGTTGCTCTTGTTTCCCTTGGTGGCTTTTTCTAAAGGTAAGGGAAGTTCTGCAATGTTAATTTACTTCATGGGGCCATTAGATGGCGAACAACCATTCATTGCCATCTTTTCTCTTCCCAAGGGGTCTCCTCAGACATTCAGCTTGTATCATCTGGGCCAGGAATAGTGAGACCAGGAGAGAATCTCAACCTGCTTTGTAAAGTCACAGGTTTCTCCATCTCTACTCAGTCCTATTGGTGGAGTTGGATCCGTCAAGCTCCTGGGAAAGGTCTGGAATGGATTGCATGGATATACCCCTATAATGGAGAAACAAGATATGCCCCTTCTCTGAAGAGCCGAGCAAGCATTTCTTCAGATGCCTCAAAGAATGAGTTCTCCCTCCAGCTGAACTCCCTGACAGCTGCAGACTCCGCTGTGTATTTCTGTGCCCGAGAAGACACAGTGAGACAAAGCCTATTGGGCCCTGTTCAAAAAGTAGAAGTCCTGCTTCTATAAACAAATAGACTGTGAAAGTTTTGACAGAGCAATTCTACATTCCACAGATGATGCGGAAAAACATCTAAACTGCCTGCCTCTTCAATCTGTAACTTAATCCAGAAATGATTATACTGATGGAAACCTACGGAAGTAACACACAATAGAAATAGAAAAATGTGGATCAGTACAACGCTGTATCAAGGGACTTTGCTGCAAAATCAATATCCAGTTTTGTAAATACATGATTATCTGTGTTTTGTCTGGTCACACCTCTGAGTTATGGTTCCAGGCGATTCTCACTGGGGAGAGCATTCCACAAACAGGGAGCCATTGCAGAAAAGGCTCCTTCTCATTTTCTCACCCTCCAGACATCATGTGGAGGAGGAACATGGAAAAAGGGCCTCAAATGATGATCTCAGTGTCTGGATCAGTTTTATCAATCTTTAATTTACACCAAGGACCATCAAACATTCTGCAATGGGCACTCCACACAAGCACCACAACCAGCCACACACCACAGCTTGTTCTATTGGTTACACTAAAGAGCATCTTTGAAATTTCTATTGGGGAGAGAGGATACTGTGAGAAGTGTGCTTGCCCTCTGCAGTGTACCTCATTGTGGGCAGGCACTCCCCTGCGAGCCAGGATCTGACTTGGGATTCCCAGACATCACAGGAAGGCTCTACAAAACTTGTTGCTTGACTACCGTATATACTTGAGTATAAGTCGGCTTTTTCAGCATATTTTTTATGCTGAAAAAGCCCCCTCGGCTCATACTGGATTGAGCGTCCCTATCGGCAGCTGTCAGCGGTGGTGGAGGAGGAACTAGCAGCTTGATAGCAGCCATTTTGGGTTGTTTGTTCTTCCTCCGCCACTGCCGCCACCAGCCTCTGACCTCTCGGCAGCACCCTAGGTAGGCAGGAGGGGCTGGGAGGAAGAGGTTTGTGGTGTGGTGAAACAGCTTATACTCGAGTCAATAAGTTTTCCCAGTTTTTTGTGGTAAAATTAGGTTCCTCGGCTTATATTCGGGTCGACTTATACTCAAGTATATATGGGTAATTTGCCCTGCCCACTTGCCTAATCAGTGAATCGGGAGCAAGCATGGGCAACCAAGTTGAAGGACGTTCCTCCAGTATATAATACAGACCCATGGCTTGTTCTGCAGCCACATTTCATTGGATCCCCACCCACCCACTTTACATATTGCTATTGCATGTTGTTCTGCTCCACTTTGCTATGGCATAGTCGATCACCGTGTTGGGGTCCAGGTTGAAATTTTCCAACTCAGCCCTCTGCTTTTTGCCATCCTCACTGTAATTGTCACAACTTTGACAGTTTAGGCATTGGGTAGGTATAGTCTTGCTCTGAGGGGCGGTTGTAGCCCCTGCCTTCGAAACGGAGTATCCTGTTAAAGGGATCATGGGGAGATGCTTCTGTCCGGATGCCCAGAAAGGGTGAGGGGCCACAACACTCCCCAGATGCAATCCAGTGGGGGAGATACCCCTTGATGTAGGTCAGGGACTCCCTCATTTCCTCTTGTCCCCAAAATACAAGTTCTTTTTGCAGGAAGGGGGGTATACAAAATACCTATGCCAAACTTTTGTTGTCAATAAAGTTGTGGCCTGATTTCACCCAAGTATTCGTTGTTGTGTATCTTAATTTTGGTATAGGGGAGGACCAAAGTGTATGGAGGATGCCTTGACATGAAAACAGGGAATGTTTCTGAATGTGCATATGCACCCATATAACACCCCCCCCAATATAAACAAAGCTTTTGTATTTCTCATTCACATCTTACAGAGACAGGATTCCCCATGCTTTGAGAAGAGCAAGAACAAGGAGCTATGTCATGTGCTCTTCTATTCTACATAAGACGGGATTCTTATACATATGCTACTCATGTATCTTTTTATTTAAAACCTTTAAGAGAGAGCATTCCACGGATATTTTATTTCTTTGCTGAGCTGTGATCTACAGTGTTAATCTAGATTTTTCTTCCACTTCATTTGACCATATCATTGCAGCCCAATTCCTCTCCACAGTTATGCTAAGAAATTGTTCCCCACCTTTGATGGTACAAGCACTGGGCATGCTGAAAGTGTTGGAGTTTATGAAATCTGTGTTGCTCTTTTTTCCTGAGAGTTATACATAAAACCATCACTGTAAAGACCTGTACAAACTGTGCAGCAGCAAAGAAGGAGATTTCTGACAAAGTGCAGACATGACTCTAGTCCCTCACTGCCCAGAGTCTCTGTTGATGCTTTTATACTAATGAGTATGTAAATCTTCAGAGAGAGCTTCCTCTTTAAAGCAGTCAGAGAACCTCCCTTCCCATGCATACCACTTCTTGCGTATCTCTCTCAAAGAATCAGACAAGGAAAATGATAGTTTTACTTCAACTTGTTTTCTTTTCAGCAGCTTGGGGAGGTAAATTCATTTTTCCAGTTGAAGAAAGCTGATACAGTCTGGGTGTTTATAACATGGATCTGGTCTCTCAATGTGCCCTTCTTTCTAGGTGTTCAATCGGAGGTCCAGCTGGTTGAGTCTGGGGGAGATGTGAAAAGGCCTGGGGAGTCCCTCCGCCTCTCCTGCCAAGCCTCTGGGTTCAACTTTGGGAATGCTTACATGAACTGGGTGAGACAGGCTCCTGGGAAAGGCCTGGAATGGGTGGCCTACATATATCCACAATCTAATTACATTTCCTACTTGGATAAAGTGAAGGGAAGATTCACCGTCTCCAGGGACAATTCTAATAGCCTCCTCTATCTGCAAATGAACAGCCTTAAACTGGAAGACTCGGCTGTGTATTACTGTGCAGGAGACACAGTGAGAGGAAGTGAATCTGGAGCCAAGCAAAAACCCTCCTTTGCCCACAGCTGCCCTTTGAATTGATTCAGCTGCAGGAGACTAATCTATTGCTGAATGTGGAAACGCTGTTTCTGGAGGAGTTTGTAAGGACAGAGAAGTTACAATTTATGGATTGCTTCAACAGAGTTTTGGGAGCAAGAAGCCACAAGGGAGAGAAGCACACTTCATTGGGCTTGATATATGTATAATAGTTGTGATCCTGCAATTAAAGAGCCTTTTTAAAAGTTTTGTGTGTGGAGTCTACTTCATCACTAGGGAGTCATAAGGGTTAAACCGCTGCATCACTCTGCATGGGTCTGAAGAAAAAGCTAATGGGTGGCACAAAATTAATTGAATGAATCACCATTGAAGGTTCAATCTTGTTTTGGGAACAGCTACAGGCTTGACGCTACTGCTCTCTGCGACATTTCACTGGAAGGAAAACCCATTAATCTCTACAAAATGTAGAGATGAACATTAATCATCTTGTCACAAAACCTGGCCTCTCCTCCTCCTGTTCCTCACAAGGGGGAGTCATGGTGCAAAGATGAGGAAATGCCCCATCTGACATAACTGAATTAACATGTTGCTCGAAGTACGGTTGGTGATTTCATCTGTGAAGGCAAATACTTTCTCAGATGTTTCCTGGACAACCAACTTTCTATGAGCCCCCTGAGACCTTGAGTCCCTGCGAAACTTTCCTGCAATGATATCTGTGCTTCAGCCCATGGGTAACAGTTTGTGGGGAAGAAATCCATGGCACAATCTTCTTTGCTACATATATGGATGGTCTGTAGACTGAGGATATGTACTGTATTTATTCGGGATTTTACATTGTTCTTTAATCTTGTGAACCGTCCTGAGATTTTATCATGAAGAGCGATATATAACTATAAAATCATCATCATCATCATCATCATCATCATCATCTCTCCAACTTCATTAGTTCACATTATTGCAGCCTGATTCTTCCCATAAGCATGTTCAGGAATTGCTCACTATCTTCCACAAAGTGCTTGGCATGCTCAGAGTGAAAAAGGGCTTGCCCACATTACTCTTATTCTCGTGTTTTCTTTTCTCCCTTCACTTTCCCCAGGAAAAGCCATGGTTTAAGGACTGAACAGGAAAAAAGTCAATCAGGTTTTCTATTGGGTTGACATTTGTTCTGGTTCAGCCATAAACTGTGGACAAAAGAAGAACATCTTCGACCCATGCTAAGAGAACACAGGACAAATGAAAATGTGGATAAGCCCAGAGTTTTCAAAAGGCCATGTTGCTTGTGCATTCTGAGAGGGACACCCAAGTCTACAGATGTAAAGAGCTCTGCAAACGTCAAACAGTGCCAAAGGGACAGATTTTTGCAAAGTCCAGGTATGCCTGCAGTCGTACATTGCAGAAAGTCCCTGTTGGTGTTTTTATCTTGATGGGTATGCAAATTTTCAGAGAGAGCTTCCTCTTTAAAGCAGTCAGACAGCCTTCCTTCCTCTGCATATCTGGGACCAAATTTTGCTCAACACTGTCACAGAATTAGACAAGTAAAATGATAGTTTTGCTTCAATTAGTTTTCCTTTTGGTAGCTTTTGGAGGTAAATCCATCCTTTCTGTTAAAGATGGTTGGGGTACTCTGGGTGTTAATAACATGCAGCAGTCTTCTTAAAATGCCTTTCTTTGTAGGTGTCCAATCGGAGGTCCAGCTGGTGGAGTCTGGAGGAGATGTGAAAAAGCCTGGAGAGTCCCTCCGCCTCTCCTGCAGAGCCTCTGGATTCAACTTTGGGGGCTATGGCATGCACTGGGTGAGACAGTCTCCAGGGAAGGGCCTGGAATGGGTGGCCTACATAAGCTCCACTTCGGGTACAATTTACTACTTGGATAAAGTGAAGGGAAGATTCACCATCTCCAGGGACAATTCCAACAGCCTCCTCTATCTGCAAATGAACAGCCTTAAATCGGAAGACACTGCTGTGTATTACTGTGCAAGAGACACAGTGAGAGGAAGTGAATCTGAAGCCAGACAAAAACCCTCCTTTTCTCATGACTGCTCTCAATTACAATCTTGAGGAACAAACATTGCCATTTATAGTTTAAAGGGATATTTTCATGTCTCCTTTTGCACATCAGCATTTACCACCCCATTTTACAATGAGACCCCAAAACACATTCCAAGTCATGGGTTTGCACAGATTCTAATAGCACTCAGTGGCTCCAGCTATTTTCACCACACTTCACATTGGTCTCCGTTGCAGGACTCAGGTAGACATCGGACCAGGGAAAGGGTGAAATATCTATTGCTTGACACTGTTTGAGGGGGGGAGCATAGCTCTTAGAAATATAGAAATCTTGATCCTGACTTCAACACATTCCTAGATAGGGTTTAATTCTTGTTTCTCTCACTGTTTTCCTTGGGTTATGTAACATATAATGCTCACTCTCTACATTTCTCTAAAATGTTAGGGCATTTTTATGTTTAATTGCATATATTGGGTGTAAATCACTGTCCACATGTGTTCACATGCCTCTGTTGAGATCGCATGATATTTATGTAGTGCATCTATTTTTACCTCCATAAGCTACTCTTTCATTAACTGTGGGCACAGAAGTACTTCATTACGTACACAGGTTGGAATATGCAAACCTTTAGAGCGACACACATTTGTCTCCAAGCACAGAGTTCTGCTTCTCATAAAAGACTATGTGGGGGTTCTCATGTGGGATGGACATTTATCAGGATTCAGAAATGCATGTGTTACAAACATTTCCACCCACACAGGGAGAGTCATTCATCAAAAGAGCTGAGGGCTCTATCTATGCAAGTTAAAGCCACTCCCGACCTAAAGAGGGGGGGTTGCGGGCTCACGCCCCCGTCTACATTCTCGCGGGGCTGGCAGCAGCCCCGTGGGACTCAGGGATTCCCCAGTCTCATTAATATTCATCACCCTCGGGCCAGCCAATCGGCTGGCGGTAGGGGCGGGCTTACCTAGGTGCTCTTAAGGTCGGGGCAGCCCTGGCTCGCCCCTTTTCTTCTCTACAGCAGCAGCGGTTTCCCACCCACCCTCCCTCTAGGTTCCATCCGGACTTTGCTATGGGCTTCGGCTGGTCGCCGCAAGGGGCCTGGTAGGAGTTTTTCCATTTGGCTAATTGGCTGAAGCCACTTGGTTTTTTCGCCTACCTCGTAGCAAAACGTCACAACACCTTTGGTTTTGGCGGTTAGGCATTGGCAGGGGTATTGTAATGCAAATGAGGTCGGGGGGGAGGAACGCCATCACCTCCCCCACATCTTGAAGGGTAGTTCGTTAAAGGACTCAGGGGGGCGTCGCCTCGTCCAAAACCTATGGAGGCTAGGGCCTAAAGCGCGCTCCCGAGCGGTAACCCCTTGGGGAGCGCCTACGGATGTGCATCTCGGGGGGCTCCCCCTGTTGGTGGTTAACCCTTCCCGGTTAGACCGGATAGTATGTTAGGGCCAATGCCTAAAGCCAATACCACTCTTACCTGTAATCAATAAAGTTGTGGCCATTTTCGCCCATTAACCTTAATTCTGGTGTCCGGTGTCTTTATTTACTCCATCTGTGGGAGGGGGCGGGAATCGCCACGCAACAGGAATACACACCTCAGGTGCAAATTCTGTTCCTGTGAGGCTGCTCTTCTTCTCACAATTCTCTGTGTGTCACCAGCTCATGGGGAACAATTCCGAGGGCATGAGCATGTGATATTTTCTTATGTAAATCATGTACATGTGTAAACAGGATTTAAGCCAAACAATTTGTGCTTAGTTCTACTTTTGGATATACCAATAGAGATTGTTTGCACTGAGAAAGATACTTCCATTTTGGGGTTTTATTTGTGACTCAAGTGTCTACTTCATGTAAGCCAAGGGCCACCAACAACTCATGGGCCCTTATGGATATCAGGAAAATCTGTCATGGGCACTATGCACAAACATCACAACCAACCCATCACACACCACAACCTGTTACATAGACTGAGCTTATATAAAGGCTAATTTCTTGGGGAAGGAGAATCAGGGAAGCTTTCTGCAGATGCATGGGCACCTATGGGCAGTATGTTTGCAACCCTGGATGCATCATATAATTCATATTTCCTCATTCACACATTGCAAAGGACACATTATAAAGGACTCTTGTTGCTTTGAGAAAGGCAGAAAGAAGGAACTATGAGCATGCCTTGCCTGGTGCTCTATTACTTGTTCTTAAGGCAGGATATGAGTTTGACCAAACTGCGGGAAGTAGTGGAGGACAGAGGTGCCTGGCGTGCTCTGGTCCATGGAGTCACGAAGAGTCGGACACGACTAAACGACTAAACAACAACAAGGCAGGATAAACTATATTTTCTACCTTTTCATTTAAAACCTTTACGAGATGGCACTGGACATATTTCTCTCTATGCTGAGCTCTTATCTACATTTTTATTTGATTTCCAATCTAAACTTTCTGAAAACTCATTTGATATTTCCTTTAATGTTAATGAGCCGTTCACAGCCATCCTTAATAAGGGCACTGGACATGTTCAAAGCAGAAGCCTGTGTTGCTCTTCTAACCTCATACGGATACATAAATCCACCACTGTAAAGAGCTGTGTGAATTGTATGGTAGCAAAAAAAGAGATTTTTGCAAAGAGCAGACACGCCTCCAATTCTACATTGCCAAATGTTTCTGCTAGTCCTTTTATCCTGATGGGTATGTAAATCTTCAGAAAACTTCCTCTTTAAAGCAGTCAGACACCCTCCCTTTGCCTGCATGCTTGGGACTACATTTCACACAGGGAAAATGATAGCTTTGCTTCAACTTGTTTTCTTTTCAGCAGCCTTTGGAGGTAAATCCATCCTTTTTGCTGAAGAAAGCTAGTACAATAAGGGTGTTAAAGACATACAACAGGTCTCTTAAAATGCCTTTCTTTCTAGGTGTCCAGTCAGAGGTCCAGCTGGTTGAGTCTGGAGGGGATGTGAAAAGGCCAGGGGAGTCCCTCCGCCTCTCCTGTCGAGCCTCTGGGTTCACTTTCAACAGCAAATGGATGCACTGGGGAAGACAGGCTCAGGGAAAGGGCCTGGAATGGGTTGCAAGTATAAATGCAGGTTCATCTGACATTCGCTACTTGGATAAAGTGAAGGGACGATTCACCATCTCCAGGGACAATTCCAACAGCCTCCTCCATCTGCAAATGAACAGCCTTAAACCTGAGGACACGGCTGTGTATTACTGTGGAGGAGAGATACACAGTGAGAGGAAGTGAATCTGAACTCAGGCAAAAACCTTCCTTTGCCAGCAGCTGCCTCTGAATTGATTCAGAATCAAGAAATTGAATAAAAGTATTCAGATAATTCAGACTGATACATTTCTGTGCACGTCACAAGGAACACACAAAGGGAGAGTCATGGTGCAAAGAACTGAAAATGCCATCAACCACAACTAACATAAAATGGTGCTTGAAGTCCCATTGGTGATTTCATCTGTAATCATTTCCTCATATTTTCCTCAGACATTTCCATGTGAACCAACTTTGTATGAGCCCCTTGAGACCCTGATGCCTTGAGAGACATTCTCCTATCTCTTCAGCCCATGAGTAATATTTCATGGAGGAGGAATCCATGGCACAATTGACTTCTCTCCTAATCTAGGTGTCCTATAGATTGGAGGCATTAAAATAAAACTGTCATAGATAGTGATTATGAAATACACAAGGAACCATAATGTGGAAACAGGACATTTGCAGTAGGATGTGTGCCTAGTTCAACCTAAATGCCTATAGTGATATTTGAGCCGGCGAAAAATACTTCATATTTTAAAGTGTGACTCTACTGTCTGGTTCATCTACACCTAGGGCTGGAAACCCTGCAGTGATGAACCTTGGAATCTCAAATTTCAGCAGCACCCTGTGCGATGCCAAAACTGAAACCCCCACCTCTTATGCTCCATACTAAGTCATAGTTATGGCACCCCAAGACTCCATGTCTAGTGCAACCAAACTTGTCATGTTCCCTTGAATCCACCTCTGACCCCTGGATATTTTGCTGCTCGGAGATTGGGATGGTGTGCAACAGGATTGTCAGGCATGAGTTTGACACCAAACAAACACAGATGCCCTCTATTGCTTAAGATTGGTAAGATAACAACTGGGATTGGTAAAATACCACTTGTTTTGCTAAATGCAAGAATCCCTGACAACTTCTGGCATCCCACAACACATCTTCTGGCATCACTTGAAGGAAAATTCACAAATCTCTCTCACATATTAACCATCTTGTCACAATACAAGACCTCAGAACTCCCTACCACCACAACCTCCTCCTCCTCGTCTCCCCAAGGGGGCAGTCATGGTGCGAAGAACAGAAAATGCCATTGGCCATGACCGAATTAAATTGGTGTCTTAAGTACAGTTGGTGGTTTCATCTGCAAGGCTAATTGTTTCCTCAGACATTTCTTGTGAAGCCACATTTTTTGAGCCCCTTGAGATTTGACTCCCTGGGAGACTTTCTCACAATCTTCTCTTATGTCGCCAGCCCATGGGTAGCAGTTCATGAAGGGGGAATTCATGGCCTAATCCACTAGTGTCTGATTCTGGGTGCCCTATAGCCTGAAGACATCAAAAGAAACATAAATAGTGACTGACCCATGGGCATGGCATATGACATTTTCTTGTGTGACCGATGGAGATTGTTCTGATTGAAAAGCATACAGTTTGCCCCCAGTTTTACCTTTGGTGATGAAAATACTTCTGTTTGCTATTTATGTGAATGAAGCATCCAGTTCATGTAGACCAGGGGTCATCAACTATTCTGGACCCATGGACATATGTGCCACCCAGAAAAAAATATCTCGTGGGCAGCACACAGAAACACCACAATCAACCACACACCACAAACTATTATCTTGGATACAATCAAGTGCTACCGTATTTTTCGCTCTATAAGACGCACCAGACCACAAGACGCACCTAGTTTTTGGAGGAGGAAAACAAGAAAAAAAATATTCTGAATCTCAGAAGCCAGAATAGCAAGAGGGATCGCTACGCAGTGAAAGCAGCAATCCCTCTTGCTGTTCTGGCTTCTGGGATAGCTGCGCGGCCTGCATTCGCTCCATAAGACGCACACACATTTCCCCTTACTTTTTAGGAGGGGAAAAGTGAGTCTTATAGAGCAAAAAATACGGTACCTTCACGCCTAATTTCAACGGGGGAAGTAGAATATATGGAAAGCAAGGAAGGTTGCCACACTGCCACCCTCTGATGTAAACACAGCTTTCCTATTTCCTATTTCAAACATGAGAAGGGCAGCAACAAGATTCTATGAGAATGCCTTGTCATTTTCACCAATATTCTACCTTAAGACAGTGTACCCATATATAAACTGTATATCGATAGACCCTATGGTGAAAACCATTGCTGAAAGAGCACCAGCTGCATACACCACAGCCAACTATTCTGTTGGCTAAAGTGTTTATTTATTGAAGTCCAATTTCAGCTGAAGTGGGGCTGGGAGCTGTGCTTCACAGGGAATGGCTCTGTGTGTAAACAGGTAACCATGGGCAGGCCAGAAACAAGGGACCATGAGAGGGCCTGGTCTTTTGCTCTGATTCTTTACTTCAAGTCAGGATACCTATAAAAATTTTTACAAAGAATATTTTTGCTTAATGGTTAATCTAAGCTTTTCCTTCTGCTGCTACACTTGAACGTGCCATTCCGGCACAATTCCTCCCTGCAACAATGTCAAGAAATTGTTCACCGGGAGTACATGGCATGTTCAAGGGAACTCGTTCCCCCCTCAAATGTTTGTGTATTCATTTTATCCTTAGAAAGATATGTATTTCCACCCTTGTTAAGAAGTACGGAAGTTTTGCGTTAACGAGGAAGCAGACTTTTACAAAGACTAGATATGCCTACAGTCAGAGACTACCTGAAGTCTCTGTTGCTGCTTTTCTCCAGCTGGGTATGCAAATTTTCAGAGAGAGACACCTATTTAGGATGGCCAGACCCCCTCCCTGCACCAGTGACCCTGAATACCTGAGCCCACTTTTCATTCAGCTCTCTAGAAATAGATAAGGAAGATGATACTTTTTCTACAACTTGTTTTATTCTCTGCAGCTCTTGGAGGTAAATTCATCCGTTCTCAAATCAAGAAGCATGGGACACTCTGAGTGTAATGACATGCAGCAGTTATGCTAAAATGCCTTTCTTTCTAGGTGCCCAGACTGGAGTCCTGCTGGTTGAGTCTGGAGGGGATGTCAAGAGACCTGGGGAGTCCCTCCACCTCTCCTGTCAAGCCTCCGGGTTCACCTTCAGCAGCTACTACATGGATTGGTTGAGGCAGGCTCCTGGAAAGGGCCTGGAATGGGTGGGATATATAAGTACAGATTCATCTGGCAAACGCTACTCAGATAAAGTCAAGGGACGGTTCACCATCTCCAGGGACAATTCCAACAGCCTCCTCTATCTGCAAATGAACAACCTGAAACCAGAGGACACGGCTGTGTATTACTGTGCAAGAGACACAGTGAGAGGAAGTGAATCTGCAGCCAAGCAAAAACCCTCCTTTGCCCACAGACGCTCTCTGAGCTTTTTGTGCCCTTTAGCATGCCAGCACTCCGTCACTGGTTTGATATTTAAGTCTCTGAGGCCAAAGACATATTTGAGGTCAGGATTTTACATGGCTTCAAGCAGCATCTTGTGGTTTGATTCTTGCTTCTATCCCTCTTTTACATGAATTATATAACACACAGGATGCTCTCTATTATTGTTGTTGTTGTTGTTGTCTTAAGTTAGGGTCTTTTTACTGCTTAAAGAGGACCAAAGCGGATGCCTTGACACGTAAATAAGAAATGTTTCTGAACATGCATATATATGCAGTCATGAGCACCATGTTTAGTGACACCCCCATGTAAACACAGCTTTTATATATCTCATTTGTCTATTGCAAAGACAGGATTCCTCGTGCTTTGAGAAGAGGAACAACAAGGAGCTATGAGAATATTATGTCATATGCTCTACGTTAAGATGGGATTCTTATACATGTGCATTTTGTGTTGTTGTTGTTTTATTTAAAGCCTTTAAGAGAGGATATTTCAAAAACATTTCATTTCTTTGCTGAGCTGTGATCTACAGCTGGGATAAAATGCTATGAATAAATAGAATAAATTCCATGGGAATGGTTTTATGTTAATGCATGCTTGCCACAGCCAAGCGGATGGAGATGATCAGATTACTCATATTCACACACTTATCTCTCCATTGTGGTGAGGAGAAGAATCACATTTGGAAAACATATGGTTTGGCAGATCTGTTCAGCAATGGTGTATTCTGCGGCATGTTAACACGTGAATTAACTGAAAGAATAAAAACTTTAAAATATCAAGATCTAATACTTGAAATTTGTTTTGGGTGCAATTACATGTTCAGTGCTGCTTTGCTCTTCCCAATATCACTAGAAGATACACCCACAAATCTATGCCAAACGTCATTTTGCAAATGAAGCATCTTGTTAGAAACCAAAACTCCTGCAATAATATTTCACCTCTTCCTGCTCCCCACAAGTGGCCAGCCATGGTTTGAAGAACAGAAAATGCCATCGACAATGAATGGGATGGCAATGACTTTCCCCACCCCTGTCCAAAGTTTGATGCTGGTGAGGAGGACTTCTTCTTAATTCACCCAGAAAACCTCCACACTCCTGCTACATCTTGAGCCACAACGCTTGTGTGCTTATGCCTTCTTGTCAGTCAACCCCTCACCAAGCAAAAGGGAGAGGGGTGGGTGTCTAGAGATACAATAAATAAATAAATAAATAAATAAATAAATAAATAATGCCAGTCCCTTGCACTTTCCACCACAACAAGCAGTTTTAAAGTATAAACAATGAAAAATCCATCTCCAGTACCTTAATCTCTTCCAAACCTTGCTCCAACACCAACGTCTTTGATTGAATTATGCATTCCATCTATGCCCCATCCACTAGAACTCCACTCTATGTGCTTTTGTCTTTGTGTGTTTGTGTTTGTGCAGGGGACAAAGAGTAGCCAGCAGCAAACATTGACCCCCCAAATGGCTTTTCGCCATCCTAATTGTAATTGTCGCAACTTTGACAGTTTAGGCATTGAATAGGTATAGTCTTGTTCTGAAGGGAGGTTGTAGCGCTGCCTTCAAAATGGGGTATTCTGCTAAAGGGATCATGGGGAGATGCTTCTGTCCGGATGCCCAGGCAGGGGTGAGGGGCCACAACACTCCCCAGGTGCAATCCAGTGGGGGAGATACCCCTTGATGTAGGTCAGGGACACCCTCATTTCTTGTTGGCCCAAAATGCAAGTTCTTTTTGAAGGAAGGGGTGGGGTATACAAAATATCTATTCCAAACTTTTGTTGTCAATGAAATTGTGGCCTGATTTCACCCAAGTATTGGTTGTTGTATAACGTATTCTTGGTATTGAGGAGGATCAAAGAGTAGGGAGCATGCCTTGACATGCAAACAGGGAATGTTTCTGAACGAGCATATGCACCCATATAACACTCCACCCAATGTAAAAAAAGCTTTTGTATTTCTTTTTTTCATCTTACAAAGACAGGATTCTCCATGCTGTGAGAAGAGCAATTACAAGGAGCGATGAGAATGTTATGTAATGTGTTCTACTATTCTACATTAAGACAGGATTCTTATACATATGCTATTCATGTATTTTTTATTTAAACCTTTAAGAGAGCGAATTACACAGACATTTCATTTATTCATCAATAATGTTTTATTATTTTATTTTCACATTCATTTTACATTTCTTTAGCCCACATATAAATTTTAGCACTTTTAGGCCGAGCTTGCGACCTCCCTCCTTACCTTCAGCAGGTATCCCTTGTTCTCTCCAGTCATGTATTTTAGTTTTTTTACCTTATATCTATCTTATACATTGTAGGAGTTACTTCAGTCCTGCCAGTGTCTTTAAATTTTTACAGTTATCCTTTAAGTGCACAGTAAGTTTACTCCAACTATCCTGGAATCTCTGATCATCCTGATCCCAAATCCGTGATTCATCATTTTCGTCTGCCACTCCGCAATGGTAGGAATTTCTTGTAATTTACAATATTGGGCCAGCACATTCCTTGCAACTGCTGTGGTGTACATGAATAGTCTTTGGTCCGATTTCTTAATCTTCTTCCCCATCAAAAGAGTTCTGACGAAATGCAGACATGACTCTAGTCCCTCACTGCCAAGAGTCTCTGTTGGTGCTTTTATACTGATGGATGTAAATCTTCGGAGAGAGCTTCCACTTTAAAGCAGTCAGCGAACCTCCCTTCCCATGCATACATGGGAACACTTCTTGCTTAAGTCTCTCAAAGAATCAGACTAGGAAAATGATAGTTTCCCTTCAACTTGTTTTCCTTTCAGCAGCTTGGGGAGGTAAATTCATTCTTCCAGTTGAAGAAAGATGGTACATTCTGGGTGTTAATGACATGGATCTGGTCTCTCAATATGCCTTTCCTTCTAGGTGTCCAATAAAACGAAATAAAATGCTGTTCGAACTATGGTTGGTGAATTCATCTGTAAAGCATTTATTTTCTCCGATGTTTCCTGCTCAACCAACTTTCTATGAGCCCCCTGAGACTTTGAGTCCCTGAGAAACTTTCAAGCAATTATCTCTGTGCTCTCAGCCCATTGGCAACAGTTTGTGGGGAAGGAATCCATGGCACGATCTTCTTTTCTACAAATATGGATGCCCTGTAGATTGAGGGCCTGTGTAAACAAAATATTTGTAGTACAGCAGACCTTCAAACTGTTCTACTTTGAGCAGAACATCCCAGATCTACAGAAGCCGCCCTGGTTTCTGTTTAAATGTCCCACTTCCTCAGCCACCACCACAGTCAGACCAAGGTCACCTCCCCAGCTGCTGTGACAAGTCATGACTGCTGACATTCTTAACGTTTTAACAACTTATTTGTGCTTTTACATTGTATTTTAATTTTGTGAAATGTCCCAAGATTTTATGATGAAGAGTGAACTATAACTTTAATAAAATAATATTAATATTAATATTAATCATCACCATCATTATCTCTCTCCAACTTCACAATGGCTACCCCTAGGATGAAAGGCGTGGGACTCCCAAAACATTTGGATGAGTTTCCCCACCCCTGTCCGAATACAAATGCTTGTGAGGAGGTCTACTTCTTAATGCACCCAGACAACCTCCGCGTGCCTGCTACATCTTGAGCCACAACTCTTGTTCTTATGCCTTCCCCAAGCAAAAGGGAGGGGTGGAATTGGCTCAACTTTGTCTCTTTCCTTTGCCTATGAAGGCAATATGCCTCCTTTCAAATGTATAAGACTATTCTAAATATTTATGCAAATGAAACTTTCCAATATCTCCCTCCTTGCAGAGAAAGCATTTTTAAAAAATATTTTTTAAAAGACTCTTGATGTAATTTCATGAAGGGAGATAATATAAAACGGGGTTGCATTTGGGAGTGTGGTGGGCTTTCCAGGGGTGGAGGAAGGGTGCACTGGGGTGTGAATATAAAGATGTAACCTATATCTTACATATTCTATTATTTACTTAAAATTCCTCTTCTCCAGGTTGCCATAGCAGAGCACCCTCCCAGCACTTTTTTTTACAAGCTACATTTGAAACTATAATTGCATCGCACCAGCATCATCTCTATAGTTGCATGGGGAAGAGAGGCTGAAATAATAATAATAATAATAATAATAATAAATGCCCGTCCCTTTGAACTCTCCACCACAAGCAGCAGTTTTAAAGGATGAAGGAAGAATCCACCACCAATACATTTATCTCTTCCAAACCTTCCTCCAACACCAACGTCTTTGATTGAATTTTGCATTCCATCTATGCCCCCCTCCATTAGAACTCCACTCTGTGTGCATTTGTCTTTGTGTGTTTGTGTTTGTGCAGGGGACAAAGAGGAAACCAGCAGCAAACCCTGATCCCCCAAACTGCTTTTATATGCCTCATGTGCCTCACTGGGGAGGTCTCATGTAAATGCCACCAGGAAGTTGGGAGTGGTTTTGGATGAAAAGCCCTGAATATAAAATCTTCACTTGCTTCCCAGCCCAGAGTCCCCTTTTTCCTGTATCTCTCAGACATTATTCATCAACATTATGCAGCTCTTGTTGCTCTTGTTTTCTTTGGTGGTGTTTTCTAAAGGTAAGGGAAGTTCTGCAGTATTAATTTACTTCATGTGGCGATTTGATGACAAAAAACCATTAATTGCCATCTTTTCTCTTTCCAAGGGGTCTCCTCAGACATTCAGCTTGTATCATCTGGACCAGGAATACTGAGACCAGGAGAGAATCTCAACCTGCTTTGTAAAGTCAAAGGTTTCTCCATCTCTACCCGATACTATGCATGGCATTGGATCCGTCAAGCTCCTGGGAAAGGTCTGGAATGGATTGCAGAGATATACCCCTATAATGGAAACACAGCATATGCCCCTTCTCTGAAGAGCCGAGGAAGCGTTTCTTCAGATGCCTCAAAGAATGAGTTCTCCCTCCAGCTGAACTCCCTGACAGCTGCAGATTCCGCTGTGTATTTCTGTGCCCGAGAAGACACAGTGAGACAAAGCCTATTGGGCCCTGTTCAAAAAGTGGAAGTCCTGCTTCTATAAACAAATACACTATGAAAGTTTTGACAGAGCAATTCTACATTCCACAGATGATGCGGAACAACATCCAAACTGCCTGTCTTTTCAATCTGTAACTTAATCCAGAAATGATTATACTGATGGAAAAACCTACAGAAGGAATACACGATGGAAGTAGACTAATGTGGATCAGAACAATGCTGTACGAAATGACTTTGCTGCAACATTTTCTTCTACCACCTAAAATCAATATCATGTTTTGTAACTGCATGATTATTTGTGTTTTGTCTGCTCATACCTCTGAGTTTTGCTTAAGGTAGCTGGCAATAGACATAAACGTGGAATGTGGAGTTCCACAAAACTGTGAATTGGACATTGTGTATTTCTTCATCATCCCATCATCCCTTGGCATGGCATGAAACCTCCTCTGCAGCACATTGGACCTGGGAAACCTGGGTTCAAATCCCTACTTGTCCATGAAGCTCAGTGGATCATCTTGGGTCAGTCACAGCCTCTCAGCCTGACCTGCCCTACTGGGGTGTTGAGGGGAATATATGAGGAGGGAGATATCAGAGTGTTGTGAGGATATGAGGAGGAGGATATAATGTATAGCACCTTGAATTCTTCGAGGGGAAAGCTGGGATAAAATGCTATGAATAAATAGAACAAATTCCATGGGAATGGTGTTTATGTTAATGCCTGCTTGCCACAGCCAAGTGGATGGAGCTGATCAGATTACTAATGTCCACACACTTACACGTTGTGGTGAGAAGAATTAAATTTGGAAAACATATGGTTTCGCAGATCTGTTCAGCAATGGTGTGTTCTGTGGCATCTTAACACGTGAATTAACTGAAAGAATAAAAACTGTAAAATATCAAGATCTAATAATTGAAATGTGTTTTGGGTGCAACTACATATTCAGTGCTGCTTTGCTCTTCCCAACGTTACTAGAAGATACACCCACAAATCTATGCTAAATGTCATTTTGCAAATTAAGCATCTTGTCAGAACCCAAGGCCCCTGGAACTTTATTCCACCTCTTCCTGCTCCCCACAAGGGGGCAGCCATGGTGTGAAGAACAGAAAATGCCATCTACAATGAATGGAATGGCAATGAGTTTCCCCACCCCTGTCCAAAGGCAAATGCTGGTGAGGAGGACTCCTTCTTAATTCACCCAGACATACTCCATGAGTCTCCTATATCCTTAGCCACATCCCTTGTGTGCTTAAGACGTCTTGTCAATAAACCCCTCACCAAGCAAAAGGGAGAGAGATAGGCGGAATTGGCTCAACTTTGTCTCTTTCCTTTGCCTATGAAGGCAAAGGGACTCCTTCGAATTGTAGCGCACTCTTCTAAGTATTTATGCAAAGGAAACTTTTAAATATCTCCCTCCTTGCAGAGGAAGTTTTTTTAAAACAACAACAACAACAGACTCTTCATGTGATTTCATGAGGGGAGATAATACGTAACGGTATTGCATTGGGAGGGGTGTGGGCATTCCAGGGGTGGAAGAAGGGTGCACTGGGGTTTGACTATAAAGATGGTAGCTATATCTTACATTTTCTTTTATTTACCTAAAAATTCCTGTTCTGCAGGTTGCCACAGCAAAACTCCCTCCCAGCAATTTTTTTTCATAAGCTGCATTTGAAATTATAATCACATCACACTAACAGCATCTCTATAGGTGCATGGCGAAGGGAGGCTGAAATTATGATGATGATGATGATGATAATCATAATAATAAATGACCGTCCCTTGAACTTAGCACCACAACCAGCAGTTTTAAAGGATAAAGGAAGAATCCATCACCAATACATTTATCTCTTCCAAACCTTGCTCCAACACCAATGTCTTTGATTGAATTTTGCATTACATCTATGCCCCCCCCATTAGAATTCCACTCTGTGTGCATTTGTCTTTGTGTGTTTGTGTTTGTGCAGGGGACAAAGAGGAACCAGCAGTAAACCCTGATCCCCCAAACTGCTTTTATCTGCCTCATGTGCCTCACTGGGGAGGTCTCATGTAAATGCCACCAGGAAGTTGGGCGTAGTTTCGGATGAAAAGCCCTGAATATAAAATCTTCACTTGCTTCCCAGCCCAGAGTCCCCTCTTTCCTCTATCTCTAGCACACATTCATTCATCAACATTATGCAGCTCTTGTTGCTCTTGTTTTCTTTGGTGGTGTTTTCTAAAGGTAAGGGAAGTTCTGCAATATTAATTTAATTTATGTGGTGATTGGATGATGTCCAATCAATAATTACCCTCTTTTCTCTTTCCAAGGGGTCTCCTCAGACATTCAGCTTGTAACCTCTGGGCCAGGAATAGCGAGACCAGGAGAGAATCTCAACCTACTTTGTAAAGTCACAGGTTTCTCCATCTCTACTCAGTACTATGCATGGAATTGGATCCGTCAAGCTCCTGGGAAAGGTCTGGAATGGATTGCATGGATATACCCCTATGATGGAGACACAGCATTTGCCCCTTCTCTGAAGAGCCGAGCAAGCATTTCTTCAGATGCCTCAAAGAATGAGTTCTCCCTCCAGCTGAACTCCCTGACAGCTACAGACTCCGCTGTGTATTTCTGTGCCCGAGAAGACACAGTGAGACAAAGCCTATTGGGCCCTGTTCAAAAAGTAGAAGTCCTGCTTCTATAAAAAAAATACACTGTGAAAACTGTGACAGAGCAATTCTACATTCCACAGATGATGTGGAACAACATCCAAACTGCCTGCCTTTTCAATCTGTAACTTAATCCAGAAACGATTATACTGATGGAAACCTGCAAAAGTGACACACAGTGGAGGTCGACCAATGTGGATCAGTACAACACTGTACCAAATGACTTTGCTGCAGCATTTTTTTCCTACCACCTAAATTCAATATCCAGTTTTGAAAATAGATGATTATTTGTGTTTTGTCTGCTCTTACCTCTGAGTTATGCTTAAGGCTGCTTGCGATGGACCTCAAGAAGAAATGTAGACTTTTTACAATATTGTGAATTGGCCATTCTGTATTTCTTCATCATCCCATCACCTCTTGGCATGGGCTGAAACCTCTGCAGCACATAGGACATGGGAAACCCAGGTTCAAATACCTACTTATGAAGCTCACTAGATGACCTTGGGTCAGTCTCAGCCTCTCAGTCTGACCTACCTTACTGGGGTATAATGGGAAATATATGAGGAGGGCAATATAATGTATAGCACCTTGAATTCGAGGGAAAAGCTAGAATAAAATGCTGGAAATAAATATTATAAATTCCATGGGAATTGTGTTTATGTGCATACATAACACTTATTCCCCAACACCTACCTCTCCATTGTGGTGAGGAAAATAATCAGATATGGAAAACCTATGGTTTGGCAGTTCTGTTCAGCAATGGTGTATTCTGTGGTATGTTAAGAGAAGAATTAACTGAAAGAATAATAATTTTAAAAATCAATCTCTAATACTTGAAATTGTATTAGGTGCAACTACATGTTCGGTGCTGCTTTGCTCTTCCCCATGTCACTAGACGGTATGCCCACAAATCTATGCCAAATGTCATTTTGCAAATTAAGCATCTTGTCAGAAACCAAGACTCCTGGAATTATTCCACCTCTTCCACCTCTTCCTGTTCCCCACAAGAGGGAAACGATGGTGTCAAGAACAGAAAATGCCAATGGAAGGAGGTGTGGTCCAGTCAGACAATATTCAGATCTCCTCTACTGATGCCTTTATTTTGCTTGTTTTTGTCAAGACTAAAAAAGGACTGCTTGCCAACACTTGATAATGATGGAGAGCAAACATGGTGTAGTGGTTAAGAGCGGTAGGCTTGTAATCTGGTGAACCGGGTTTGCGTCCCCGCTCCTCCACATGCAGCTGCTGGGTGACCTTGGGCTAGTCACACTTCTTTGAAGTCTCTCAGCCCCACTCACCTCACAGAGTGTTTGTTGTGGGGGAGGAAGGGAAAGGAGAATGTTAGCCGCTTTGATACTCCTTCGGGTAGTGATAAAACGGGATATCCAATCCAAACTCTTCTTCTCTTCTTGATGCAAGTAAATTTCCTGATTCATGTAGGTAATTGTATTTGCCAAGTCACACATTATATTCATATTAATTTGCCAAGTCTCACCAGAGTTGCCCTGCCCTGAGAAAAGCAGATATGTTCACCTTCTCACTATACTCCCCCGTAAAAGGATATTTAATTTGAAGGTCCCTGTGTTTCTCTTTTATAGTGTACTTTAGTAAATAAGCATACTATTTATTAAAAATATATATGTGGCAATAAGCCACCAAAGAGCTGCTTCCTCCATGTCAGTTAGGCGCTAACCCTGCCCCAGTTACAAAACCCTGAATTCCTGGGACCACTTTTCACTAAACCATCTCAAATAATTCAAGAGGGGAAATGATACTTTTGCTTCAGCTTGTCTTCTTTTCAACAGCATTTGGAGGTAAATATATCTTTTCAATTAAAGAAAACAGCTTCATCTTGAGGCCTTACCCATTGTCTCGCTGATAACTGACCCCTTCCCCCGGCAAACTGTTCTTTAGTGCTCCATTGGAGCAAACAGCCATTTGTGGTTCCTCCAAATTGCAATTTCTTCTTGTATAACACTAAAGAGGGGGAAACCGCTCAGACTTGTGTTTTCTAGGCACAACACTAGCAGAAGTATGGACAAGCGTCTTAAAATGCCTTTATTTCCAGGTGCTGAATCATAAATTCAGATGGTTGAGTCGGGGGGGGGGCAGAACTGTACCTATTAATCTACTTGCACTTTTTGGCGTGCTTTTGAACTGCTAGGTTGGCAGGAGCTGGGACCGAGCAACAGAAGCTTACCCCATTGCGGGGATTCGCACCACCAACCTTTTGATCGGCAAGTCCAAAGCTCAGTGGTTTAGGCCGCAGTATCACCCGCGTCTCTAATCTTTATTTAGAGAAGCAATAAGAAACTTTTTTTAAGAAACAAAAATTAGGCCATGCAAAACTAATATATTTTAACTGTTTCACAACATTCACCAGCACAAACTAGCTGTATTCTCTGGTTTGGGCAAGATATTATAGAACAACAACAATAGAGATTGATCTAAATTTAATGTTTCCCCTTGATCAACTTTTTTGACCAATTTCAAA